TAGTCTCTTCTCCCTACCCTTTCTCTCGTTGCTTTCTGGCTGCTACTACAAGGTGAGCAGCTTGCTCCTCTCTCTACACCCTCTTATTGTAATGTTCTACCTCAGTACAGGTCCTTAGCAATGGACTGAAATCTCATCGTTTCCATGAACCAACATAATCATTTCTTCCTGCTTGTTGTTTATCTCAGGTATTTTGTTAACAGCGACAGAAACTGGCTAACACCCTGGAGCCAAGGAGCCCCAAACCCTGAGTACATTTAGAGAGGACAGTAGAGTCTGCCTGAGCCTGGTGCAGACTGACTGAGTCTCTGCCCTGACTCCTCTCAGTGATGGACTGTGATGTGGGAGTATAAGCCAATTAACCCTTTTCTCCCCAGGTTGCTTCTAGTCAGACTGTCTATCACAGCAACAAACTAGGATTTAAGAGCTGCACTAGACTAGGTCCCCCAGCAAATGGGAATATTGGTCATAGCGAAGGGAGAGTGATGCCTTGTTTACCCAGATCATCCCACCACAGGACACAGACATATAGCCAGGGTTTCAAAGGTGGCATAAAGGACCACACGGGCACCAAAGTCACTAGTGACCACAGGTGTGACCTTCCACCACCCCCATGGGAACTTGCAAAAGAAGAAAGTGCTACTTCCTAACGGTGATGCTTTCTGGAGGGCTGTGTGCAGATCCACTCCAAAGGACACTTCCCATCCCCCTCTAGAAGGATTGTGTCACCTGTGATTCTGGCCAGACCTGAGCATGGAGAGGGAAATGAGGATACCTGGCCACTGGCCCCTTGAAGTCCATTAAACTTCTTGCAGTTCTGGGTCATTTTTTAAGGTTCTGGGTCATATATATATATATATATATATATATATATATATATATATATATATATATATTTTGGAAAAAAAGGCTTATGAGGCAGAGTATATGCAATAAAAGTTATCTTAGATCACATCCATTCCACTTACCTAAATTGACTAACCCATCAAATTCGTCCTCCGACTGCCACTGCCCACCTGTGGGCCAAGGATGCCTTTAATGCCTTGGTGGTGAATGGACTCAGGAATTCCTCCCTGTCCCATTTCTAACACAGCTGTTAGAGCCAGCACGATGAATCGCCCTTCTGTGTGTCCTTTACTGTTCAACTCTCCTCTAAAGTCTGTCACCTTAGAGTGGGAAGATCTACTCCCAATCGATTTTAAATCCATATTGGAAAAGGTTTGGGGTTGTTTGGTTCTTTTTCCTACATTGTCTTGTGGCTTCATGTAGGAAGTCAGCTGAGCTGAAAGTCACACTCTACAGGGGTGGGGGTGGGGAATTTTGCCTGCTTTTTCTTCATGTTGTTAGCTTGTTTCCAACCAGTTGTGTTTTTGACAAAACATAAATCACACACTTCATATTTCCATATTTTTCTTCCTGTTTTCTCTGAGTTAGCGGAAGTCATTACTGTAAAACTGTGTATAAACTATATAGAACCAAAAGGGGGAAGGGATTCAGATGCTGAAAGTACAGTCTGTTGGCATAAGATGAAGAGCTGAGTGGCAGGTAAAATAAAGGGCATGCATGCTTTCTAAGGGTCTGGGTGGAGCGCAAACATTGTTCCCATTTTACAGATGAGACACTTAAGCCTGTGAGACATAAATACTTGCCAAGGACTACTTCTAGCAAATGGTATCTCTGGGTGAGATCTGTTGACATCAGTACCTTCCCAAAACATTAAGATAGAATAGTACAGATGGAAAACACTAAGGGTTCTTATTTACATGTAACTCTGGAATCAAAGAGTGATCATCTTTTCTAGTTCTTCAACATACAAAACCTGCTTTAGAGACCTGGACAGCTCTGTCCATCAGTTCATAAAATGAGTTGTGAGGTTCACCCCATGTCCCACGGATGAGAAAACTGAGGCTCAAGGCCATCATCATTTTGCTAAGGACCCTCAGCTAATTGCAGAGCTGAGACAGGAACCCAGGTTCCTTTTAGCTACCCAAATGATAAACAACAAAATACATAGGCCATTTTTCTTTGGGTTTGTTGGGATTCTAAACCAAATGCTTATACAATTTGCTTGGGATAAATTCCAGGTGGGTTAGATTGTTATAGCTTTGGGTACAGGAAGGATTTCAATTATCCTCAGTACCCACTTTGAAGTATTTTTCTTTATTTCCCCAATGGTGTGAAATTATGAGTGGAGTCAAGTCCTGTGCCCAAGACCTAACTGTAAAAGAGTGCTCACATTAGGCAGGGAAGAGTGTTGTAGAGGAACACTGAACCCAAAGTCCTGAGGAGTAAGTCAAGTTAACTTGGCTACAGTCACTACTGAAGTAGTGTAATTTAGATCCTCCCACTCTAAATTAAAGACAATTCAGATGTTAAGTTTTAAAGATTTTTTTAAAAACACTCTTACCCTAGAAGTACTACATGCAAAGGGGCGGGGGGGGGGGAGAGAACAAGTTTCCCCACCCCCAGTCAGAATCGCCGTCAGAGAGAAAGCAGATGATTCCGGCAAGAGAAGAGGAAGCCAACACACTGCTGGTGGGAACGCCCACCAGGGTAGCCACTGCAGAAGTCAGCCTGGAGGCTCCTCAGAAAACTAATATTAGAACTGCCGTACGACACAGCCGCACCATGTGTGGGCAGATATGCAAAGGAATCGAAGGCAGCGTCACACCACGGCACTGGCTACACACATGCATGCTTAGTGCTGCACATCTTATAACAGCCAAGAGACTCCAGGAGCTCAGAGGTCCAGAGATAGATGAATGAGTAGAGAAAATGTGATATGATAAATGCACACACGTGCATGCACAAAATACACACGTGCAGACACAAGCACACCTGATATGCATGCATGCACACACACACACAACAGGATTTTATCCAGCCATTAAGAAGAATTAAGTAAGGTCATTTGCCAGAAAAAAAATGAAGGGAAGGAGAGATCATCAGGTGAAGAGTAATAAGCCAGACTTGGAAAGACAAAAATTACATGATGCTTTCTCTCATATGGGGAGTCTACACACACACACACACACACACACACACACACATATATATATATATATATGTATATATATATGGGTTTTTGTGTATGTGGCGTGTATGTATATAGGATATGAAGGTAGAAGGGTGGGGCTTATTGTGGGAAGAAAGAGTTCTAAAAGGAAGCAGACAAGACAGTGTAGTGGGGGAAGAAAGACGAAATAGAGCAGATGTTTCCTTCACAGGCAGAATCTAGATTTATAGACGTACAAGTACGTGCGCGTGTCAGGAGGGAAAGAAGCAGAAGGGAGGCTTGAGGGAGAAGGAGGTAAACCAGCAGGGGTGGAGGGGTGGGGAGGGGAGGGGAAGGGTGGGGAGGGGCGGGGAGGGCAAGGCAAGTGGGAGCAAGATGCACCATATACATAACGATTTATATACACTAAGCAAGGAAAACTAGTTAAATAAAAGTAAACCATTTCTACTTAAATGGTTAAAAGTAAAAGAAATAGTATGAGAGATGGCTCAGCAGTCCAGAGGACCTGGGTTCTTTTCCCAGCATCCACATGGCAGCTCACAGCCATCTGTAACTCCAGTTCTAGGGACTCCAACTCCCTCTTCTGGCCTCCCTTGGGCACCAGGCATGTAACCGGCACACACACATATGTGCAGGCAAAACATCCATTTACACAGAATAAGATAAAATTTAAAAATTAAAGGGATGAAAAGAGATGGAATTGTGAGATCATTTTAAAATACATATGTGCCAAGAGAAGCTCATCACAGAAAGATGATCATAATAAAGCAGGTTCTATTGTCCCCAGAAACTGAGAGACCCCTTCTGAGCAAGACACTGCACTGAGATTCTGACCCTGGGAGTTCACATGGCCGTCTGTGCACGTGGTCAGGAGCTGATTCCCAAGGGCCTCCATCTGGAGCTTCCCTGTCTGTGTCCCTAAGCAGTGGATACCGAGTGCTACCCTTGACCTTCTGCCGGAGACATCTTTTATTTACTTCTTCCTACAGAATTTCCTTAGCCGGGCTGTAGTGAGTGCCGTTCGTCATCCTAATGGGCTCAAATGGAACCCCTTGAAGTCCCCCAGGATGTGCCTTGGTCTAAGAAAAGAAGCCTAGTTAACCGCACTCTCTGAACTGGAAATTTATGACTTCCCACAGGTTGACACTGCAGGGTTATTTGTGCTGTCCTATAGGGACGTGGCCTTCTGAAATGCCATAGCCTACCAGCCCTGCTCATGCCCCTCCCCCCTTTTCACTAGCCAACCAACTCCCCATTCCTTCACCCTCCAGCTCCATCGGGATCTGGATGTAAGCCCATCCACTCAGTTTCCACCCCACCCCTGGACTTTCCACACTCCTGCAGTGCTAGCAGAGCTCATCTCTAGCCTCATGTAAAAGGAAACCTGAGAATCATACCGCTGCCTTTCAAAGTGATAGGATGCTTATGTTCCCAAACCCTGTCGTTTTCACACTTACAACCCTGGAAATCGGGCAGCTTCTCTGAAATTTGGAAACCCTTTATGAGACTGTCAGACTTCACAATTGTTCCTCAGATGTCTGTATACATAAACTCACTTGTATAGGGTTGGCCACCATGGTAGGTGATTAGCTCAAAATTCATTAAGAATTACATCTTACTGGATTAATTCCATAAACATTAATTGTCTGTCGTAGACCTGTGGGCTGGCAGACAGCCACTGGGGTAGGACTTTCTTTATCCTGCTTATGACCCAGCTCAGTGTTCCAGCCTCCAGAAGATGAGGGATGCAGGGTATTCAGCCAAGCAGGCGGAGCCCAACCTGCCCAGGCCATGCACATCCCTGGCCAGTGCACCCAGATATTGAGAGGTGAAAGAAAAGTCTTCTTAGGAAGTCTGTGAATTCTCTCCGTCTGCCTAAGGGTTTGGGGTGAAATGTGTGTCAATTTTTTTTTTTAATTGTATGGCATTCAGCAAAGCCCTGCTAAGACAATGGGGCCTTTCACTGCTCTGTCTTCTCTCCTAGGACATCAATGAGTGCATTCTGGAAAACTACCCTGAGTGTTCCAACCCCCGGTTATTTTACATCATTCCGTATTTCTGTGGACAGCACCCCAGGTGTAGGTAAGCATGCTGGGATAGCACCCCGCCACACGGGCACTCTGGGAACATTCTGCAGGAAGCCCCTCAACCTTTTTGGAATTCAGTTCATGATAACAGTAGCTCTTCAAGAGCATCATCCACCATTCTGGGTGTCATATAGGGAACGTGAGGCTCCGTGGCGCAGCAATAGGGATGGTTACATACAGCGACACCCACCAAACCCATTCATCTACCCAAAACACAGCTGTCACCACCACCCAACAAGACAGTGGAGACCAGCGTCAGGTGGCCAGCCTGCTCCTCCACAGTGGTTGTTTGTGACCCATGACCATCTCTGTGCTTGGCAAGCTCCATCTGGTCTAACACTCTGGAGGCACACACCCAATTTGTCTCTAATGAGATACAGTCCCACAGAACAGTGGTTCTCAGCCTGTGGGTCACGACTCCTTTGGGAGTCGAAAGACCCTTTCCCAGGGGTCACCTAAGACTATCAGAAAACACAGCATTATGATTCAGTAGCAAAATGACAGTTATGAAGTAGAAGCAAAGAAAATAACTTTACGGCTGGGGAGTCACCACAGCATGAGGAACTGCATTAAAGGGTGGCAGCGTTAGGAAGGCTGGGATCAACGGACATAGAAAGAGTGCTCTCCAGAGATCAAGCTGGCCTGACTTGAACACAGAACCTGTTTGACACAGAGTCTTACTCAGGTGGATGGTGTGCCCCAGGGCAGGCACAAGCATCCCGAGTTGCTTTTTTAGGTGGTACTGGCGTAGTGCTAGTTGGAAACCGTATGCATGGTTCTAAGAACACGGCTACAACCTAGAGAAGAAAAGATTGCAAAGTATCACTGGCTTTGCGTGGCGGAACTAAGGCTTGGGACACTGAGTAGGAATTGAGGGTCCTTAGGTTCTGGCCATGGGAGGGGGAGCATGGCTGATTCTAAATTATGACATATTCTTGTCATTTGGGGGGCTTACATTTTCATTTCTGTTTGATGGCGAGTCTTCCTGATGCTGCCATTTTGATTAGCTTACTGTGAGAGGAGAATAGTAGTTACGATGCAAAGCTCAGGCATTATCAGCATCCTGGGCTCAGGCAGCCTTCTCCCAGCATTGACACGGATGATCAGTGATCAGTATCAGTGCTTTGGAGGCTGGGGATACAGGATCAAATGACTTCTTTTTGATTACAATGGAGGGGTTTATTTGAGGAATATGATTCTAACTCCCTAAAGTGGGCCTCAGACTGGCTGTTTCCAAACCTTTAGCAGTGTGCTTGGGTGCCTTATCTAGTTCACAGGAGGACCCCAAGATTCACTCCACCAATATCACTTTGTTGAACCTTTACAGCAGTCCTTTGCAGCAGGTGAGCCTTGTTGTGTTGTTGTTATTGTTTCAAGAGTTACCTTGGCTTGTCCAAATTCCCCCCAAATCTGACCTATAAAGAAATTCGGCTCCTTCCCTTCTGTAACCCAAACGAACCACAATAACAACAACCAGTGTTGATGCTTTTTAAAGGATGAGATGATTAGCAGGCATTATTGGACACTAGTTTTGATCATCACAAAAATATTGTCAGTGACTCTAACTTTCAGTAAACGGGTTCCACTTGGTTCATCTATTTAAAAAAAGTCATTCTAGCCATCTGCTCAGGTCCTAAGTGCCTGTGCCTATCTGTGTCTTTCATTAAATACCTAGACAGGCATATTCATTTCAGTGCCCCGGCCCTGGTGTGCATGTAAAAAGATCCCTCAGCTAGAGAAACAGGAGAAGAACGGGCTGTTCTAGCATAGGCTAGACCTCGGGCTGTTCTAGAATAGGCTAGACCTCGGGCTGTTCTAGAATAGGCTAGACCTCGGGCTGTTCTAGAATAGGCTGGACCTCAGCTAGATCCAGAAGGAATGTAGGTTGGGGCTTACACAGATGCCTTGAGCAGGAGAATGGGAAGAGTTACAACACACGGTGGACAGAAGCGATCAGCCTTCCTTGGGCTGTTGCTGCACATCAAAGCCTTTGATGGAAAGAGACTTTCTTGTCTGTCAAGGGAGCCTGGCGAGTGGGCGCTGGAGCGAGCCAAGCTGAACGTGAATGAGAACTTCCTGCTCGTGGGGATTCTGGAGGAGTTGGAGGACGTGCTGCTTTTACTGGAAAGATTCTTACCTCATTACTTCAAGGGCGTGCTCAGCATCTACAAGGACCCAGGTAAGTCCATGTGGAAGCCCTCTTCCCTGCGGGGTCCACTCCAGGGTTTTCTTGCCTTGACAACGACTTGGGAGATGAAGGTGTGATGTGATATCTTGTGTTCCTGGGCTTTCAAAGACTTGTGTTCTGTGGGCTTTTGACTGCAAAATCTCAAGCTTTAAGGTGAAACACAGACTCACCGAGGCTAGCGTCCCAATGGCTAAGACCCGCTCCTTAAAAACAGAAGTTCACAACATCCTCCACCAACTTACTCCAGCGTATTGTTGGAGTGAACAAGGGCTGTGGATGCATGCGCACACCTGCAGCTCCTGGATGCAAACAGGAGGGAGGGAAGAGCTCCTTGAGATGAGGCAGCTCTGCCCTGCTGCCGTTACAAAAGCACTCTGGCGTGTAAAATCCCAGCAGCAGATTAGATAGGGGAAGGAAATTGAAAACGCAATTAAGATTTTATTCTCACACACCAAGTGCTCCCCAAATAGAAGTGGCAGCGTGATTGCGGGACAGCCCACGGTATCACTGCGAAGATAATTACTTCTGGAAATCCATCACTTATTTTCTTCTCATTAGTATTTAGCTTGAGAGAAAGAAGCCCTTTTGCCTCTCCCTTTCCTGAACTCCTTAATCTACTGCTGCAGGCCAAGCCTTGCATACTTATTCACTGATCAGCTTGTGGCTTTGTGCTCTTGGGAGAGGGCATATGGTCTGGTAGAAATAGCAGACAGAGGGAACACTCCCAAAGTCTGCAGACAGTCAGATGGGGACTTCGAACCACATCTGCATCACCAAGGCCCAGGCAAACTGGCCTTTGCCTGGGGGACCCTTACCCTGGGGCCCTGCCATTTGGATAATGGCTGGCAGGTGCTTCCAGGGTCTCCCAGCTCTCTCATTCAGGGTAAAAAAAATCTAACTTATCTGCATGTAAGAATATGCCAGAACACCCGAAGGTGAGCTTTGCTGTGAGTCTTCTCATCAGGAATATCAGTTTGAGTAGCTAGAAGCCTTCAGCTGCTGAGTTTGGAAACGGGAACTTCCTCTGCCCTTGCAACCACAGGCCCACGGAAGAGTTTGCATCCTTAAATGTGAAGGGTGTCAACACTCGGCTGTGTCCAACAATGGTTCCGTAAGACAGTGTGAGCCCTGCTCTTTGTGCAGGAGGAGAGCTTACCCTACATTAGAATCTTTAAAGGAAGAATTCGGTCATTCTTGGGTGGACCCTGTGTGTGTGTGTGTGTGTGTGTGTGTGTGTGTGTGTGTGTGTGTGTGTGTGTGTGTGTGCGTGTGTGTGTGTGTAACAATGTGAGATGATGGACTGAATGAATCTTGGTGCCACATGCTTATCCAGACATTTGTTAAGGGGCAAGGATGGAGATTTGCTCATTTTGATGAAGACATTTACATCTCTGTTCTTAAACACATACAAAAACAAAAAGCTCATCCCAAAGGGACACTCACCTAGCTATAGTTTCTTATTGACTTCCTATTTTCTCCAGTTAACTAGGTGACATCTTGGGAACGGTGAGCCTTGATCCCGTGATCTGTACGCCCATCGCTTACAGTAGAAAAGATTTGTGACCATTGGATGGCTGTTAGCTCTCTTACCTACAGCTACAGTCTTCCCAACAGTAAATAAAAGCTGTCTTTCCCCTTTGAGTTGGGCAGTAACAACATGTTAAAGGCCTCAGAAGGAATAAGGGACATCTGGTATTCTTGTGCAGTGGGATGAAAGGCTTCCAGAAACCCATTGCAGCTGTTCCAGAGGCTTGCATTGATGCCCTGCATCTATTCTGCATTCAGTGTGCATCTTGGCTGCCCCAATCCTACCCTTTTCTAATAGCGAAGTGGTACAAAGGATAATTCCTGGCACAGAGGGGACCCCAAGACTCCTCCTCTCAGTTGTAAACTCAGTTACTGAGTAGAAATTGTGGCAATCCATTTATAAACCCCAGTTGATAACCTCAGTCTGGCTCTCTGCTGCCATGAAATGTGTGCGGGACAAAACGAACCATGGGCCGAGAGCTCAGTAACTTCGGTGCGCTGTGGTTACTTGGCAATGTCTTCTGCTGTTCCCTTATGATGACACCGAAGACCGAGCCATCAAATGGCTCCTCTGTCCCAAGAGTTCCTCATTCAGAGGATGAGGGGTGAGCGGAGATTCCTGACCAGTTCCTTGTTGTACCTGGGCTTCTGCAAACACAAAGCACCATGCTGTTCTCTCACTAATGTGGATTGGTGCATGAGGGCCAGATAGGCGAAAGGAGGCATAGATCTCTTTAATCTGTTCACACCAGACCACCTTGTTCTCATGGGTGGCACACTAAAGTCATGGCGCTTCCTCCATTCGAGACTTTTAGGGCTTAGTACATTTCAATGGTAGAGCTCTTGCCTAGCATGTCCACAGCCTGGATTTGATCGCCAACGCTGGAAAACCATAAGTTTAAACTTTTAGTTTGGCTCTGTTAGTAAAGCACTTGCTACAATCATGAGGACTTGAATTTGGATTCCCATACCCACTTAAACGTCAGGCATGGTGCACACTATCTAAGACACCAGCTAAGATCGCCATGAAGTTTACACATTAGTACAACATAGATACTTTTTTTAATTAAAGGACCAAATTCCTCCAACGGGTTTTGGAAAGAGATGATTTTGCTTCATGATAATCTATCCCAGAGAGGCAGAGACTAGCAGATGGCAGGAGCTCACAGGCCAGCCAGGCAAGCTGAATCACCGAGCTATAGGTTCAGTGAGAGAACCTGTCTCAGAAGCAACAGCGATGATAAGGTGTGGCAGGCAGTTGAGGAGGATCCCAATGTTGACCTCAAGGCTCCACATACACAAACTCACACTGTCACACCTATGCCCATGTGAATCAGTATGTACAGCACACACACACACACCCTCACACACATGCCCATGGGAATCAGTACATACAGTACACACACACTCACTCACACCCTCACATACTCATACCCTCACACACATGCCCACGTGAATCAGTATGTACAGTACACACACACACACACACACACACACACACACACACACACACACACACACATTTTATAACCAAGCAGGATTAAAGAACAAAACAAAGAAACACTAAAATGCAAGACACCGAGGAGGATTATTCTGGGGAGCTGTGACCACTGTGGATTCACTGACCACCCGGAAAAATGAGTTCATATGCAAACTCTCCAGTGGCTGCCGATCACAGGTTATATACCCTGTTACTGAAAAACAAAAATGCAGGAGCCTGGTACGTTTTGGTCATCGGGACCTCTGCAGCGACACTGACGACATGCGTGTGAGTTTCATACCAACGGCAGGCAGCAAGCGCTGAGTTTTCAGGGACAGGACTAGTGACGGTGGCGGTGTCCTTTAATAGGGTGAAGGGTCACTTATTTTCAGATAGGAAGGGTGGTGTCTTTCAAACAACCACTGCCTGTTTTAACAGCGCGCCGTTTAGTGAAGCTGGGGCCCACCCCAAGCACCGCTTTGACTGCGCCTGCCCCGTTCAGCGACTGCAGAAAGGTGTGGTGTCATTGAGCAAGTTTGTCTCTGACCATTTGGTAACTGGTCTTATGATAAAAAAAAATGTTAATTTTATATTACTGTTTGACTGTTAGGAGACCCAGCTAGCGTATCTCAAAAGAAGTTGATGATTATAACTAATTAATGTGAAATAGAATGCAAGGTTCGAACCTGGTGGATAGCACAGAGTCTGCTCAGGTCTTCAGGTTCATTACAAATGCTAGGTCCTTCGCAGTGTGTTTTCTAAACGAGTCTTCAGACCTGACTGAGCTGGAATTGGAGAACAAGGAAGAGACACAGGTCGAGCTGAGAGGAAACGCCTCACTGGTGTAACAGATGCCTCCTGTGTTCCTTGCTTTCTGGATGTCGTGACCTAATCCATGACGGAGAAGTGACCTGATGATGGTCTAGGTGGGGGATGCTCACAGGTAGAGGTGCTCCAGTCCACATGGTAGGGGAAGGGGTAGCAGCGGGAATGTGAGGTAGCCAGTCACACGGCCTCAGCTGTCTGGAAGCAAGGAGAGAGAGCTGAGAGCAGGTGGCCAGCCCTCCTTCTCTCTCTCTTTTTAAAATTCAGTCTGGGATGCCTCCCCATAGGATGGTGTCACCCACCCATGGGTGGTGTTTCTGTCCTCACTGGAACCTCCCTGGAAGCACTTTCATAGCACACTCAGACACATATTTTCATGGTGACTCTCAGTCTAGTCACGTTCACAGTGAGGACTGACCACCACACAGCTCTACTTCTTATTACTTAATCTCTACCGCCTTTACTACCCAGTCAGCCCTTTCTTGAGTGAGAAACTGAAGCCAGACCAGACAAGTCTATAGCGAAATGTGAAAGTAAGGGGAAGACTCCGGTACGTCGGAGCTGTGGGTTTTAATGTAGCTGTGTCTCCCTTCCTTAACTCTCCATACACTGAAACATTGGGCCGAGGGGGCAGAGCACTTGCCTACCATGCTTGGAGCCCTGGATTTGTTCTCCGGGACCACAAACGCAAACAAACCCAGCATACTGTGAGCTAACGGAATATTACTCAGACCTGATTTTGTAAGCTGAAATTGTAGGAATGGTAAAAAGCCAAAATAAATGAGCAAGTTAATTAAGAACAAAGAGCATGTGACTGTATGGCATGGGAGCAGTACTGGCCAGACCAGCGTCCAAGTTAGTCTTGTTCAATAGCGCCACCTAGTGGGTGGACGGAACTGTGTGGTCCACCCACAAGTTTCCTCCTTCAAGAGCATGAGAACGCATGTGTCTGATCCTTTTACCTTGCGTTTGAACTGCTTTCTGTTACTAACATCACCTGAGTGCTCATCCGCTTGTTTCCATTGCAAGTTCTCCGGGAGCATGATGGGAAAAATCACTAGGCATTTATGGAAGGTCTGGAGACCACAGTTGCCAACTCTTAGAATAAGTTCCAAACCATTGACTTAAATGCTGACTTTGCAAACTAAGTTCATTTACA